ATATATATATATATAAATAAAAATTACAATGAAAAAAATATGGTAAAACATAATGAGTGGACACAATACAAGTCATTGAATCTAGAGCCCCACCAAAAATAAATCAAAAACCTTTTAAACATCAATCAGCAAAAAGGCCTCAGCATTGTAACTGATTAATGCAGGATTTGTATTAGACTAAACTAGTTTCAGCTAAAGTGGCAACAGAGCAAGTTTATGTGATTAATTTCATTGTCAGACACATGTCAGGTTTCTTAGGTGTCTCTTACCCTATGGCCCCAGTCTCCATTATCCATTTGTAGAAGAATAGCAGCTTGGCCAGAACCAAAATAGAGAGGGAACGAATGAGGATCAGCTCACTTTGATTTCACCTGTGAGAAAACAGTGATATTAACATCAGCTGTAACAAGACTTCATATGCAGAACAAGACGGACACAGTCTTGTTCTAGGTTAAATGAGGTTTTTCAGTACAGACTTAAGCATCTGTGTGCATGCCTCGATTTATTTGAGTAAGGGTAAGCGTAAATAAACAGACTGTGCAAAAGATTTGAGTGGTGTTATTTTCAATGTGACTTTACCCTCTTACTGTGAAGTCAGCAGCCTGGGATGTTAGTAGATGCTGGGACTCTTGTGATAAGATTTTATTAAATTTGCATTCAGGAACAGGTGGAGCTGAAGCTCTGAACCTTAATCCCAAAGCCAGCCAACATGGCATTGAAGTGCTTTGTGTGCTCATTTCTAAGCAAATTTCTAAATTTCTAAGTATGGATTTTATTTAATTTAAAGAAAATAATCTCAAAAGCCACTATGCATAAACACGAGATGACAGGCTTTTGTTTTAGCCTCCACAGTTACTCGTGATAGTTGTTATATACCTTACTAATCTGGCTCTTCTTTTGGAAATTCTGACATTATTCTTTTTTACATAGTTCTCCAGATGTACCCAATCAGGGTCAAGAATAACAGAAAAGGGAATATAAGAATACGCTATCAAAACAGTAATGTCCTTAAACCATCATTAAAGTAATGAGATCAACTGGGGATTAAAGAAATACAAATGACAATAACAATGTTACCAGATGTCACTATACAGTATTTCATTGATATTCACTACCAGTGTAGTAAAACAATTTGCACTGCTGCGACAGAGGAGGATGTTAAGGTGCAGCAGGGTGAGATGGAGGAAGATGACCTGCTGTGGCAACCTCTAAGGGAGGAGCCAAAAAAGGAAGTGCTTATAAACACACACACACACACACACACATATATATATATACATGTGTGTGTGTGTGTTAATTTAAAGGAAATTGCCAATTTAAATAATAAGGCACTACTATCCACTTTCCCTACTTGTGTACCACAAGGAGACACTTAGAGTATCTGCTTATTTCTGTATACTTAAAGTAATACAGCAAGTATAAGTAAGCCAATATTCTAAGTAAGAGAGTAACTGATGTAAATTATACTCGCAGAATTTGGTTTTATGATCTGCGCCTTCATCTATAGGCAAATAACGTACGCGGTACAGTCCTCATTCTTAATTTCCTTTAAGCAACCCTTAGTACTCCCCATCTCATTTGTTATGCTACTATAATGTGGCTGGTTGCAGAGCAGCAAATACAAGGCTTGGTTCTATCAATTGCTGCTTCCCTGTTTAAATATAAACTTAACATTTCACGTTTCAAAGCATGAAAGTCGGGACTAAATAGCAGAAACCACAAAAACACTCAACTTGAAACTTAAACCTGGCGCAGATAAACACCCTATATAAAACTGCCCACACAGACCTGTTTTACTTACAACATTTAACTAAGGTGTATTGGTTCACTGCATGCTAGTGAAGCCAGCTAACCAATGTTTCTTTAATATCCAGTCGACAGTGCCTTTGCAGTATTTGCTGCCAACTGGCTAACAAGCTGCTACAGCAAGCCCCGAAGTGCATTTTTAAGTTCAGTACCGTTACTACATCACAAACCCAGCTCGGATACACAGAGCTGTGTGTCGTGAAACACAATGAAAGCATACAGTTTAACATACAGCCCGCTAATCTAGCTAATTGCTAGCTTCTGGTTAGCAAGCTAACGCAGCTAGCATCCCATTAGCTGCTCTTACTACTAAGGTTAACGCCAGGGTCTTAGCAGGACCGAGCAGTGAGTGACACATGAGGTAAAACCATGCCTTACCTGCTCTCTTTCGTGCGTACTTGTGTGCTTATTTTTATTCAGCGACAGAAGCCTGTGGTTGGTGCCTAACGGTGCAGCTTGAGAGTCACTGATGTTTACCGCTGGTCGCACCGGGTAACTGTGCTCGGCTCCGGGCTAAACCAAGACTGCGCACACAAGGAGGATCAAGGAAGAGAAGGAGGGAGGTCCTGGTGCAGCTGCAGGCGCCTCTCAGTGAATCACACTCACACATAAACGCATGGTCGTTTTATTATCGTCATGCAGCTTGTGTTACAACAGAAATGTGATTCATTCACACTGAAGAAATGCAGGAAACCTTCAATAATTTCTTACTATCTTAATTGTACATTTTTGTGAGGTGTCTGCATCTTCTATACAAAAGCAGGAGCACTTGGAGCATTAGAATAACAAGAAACGATGAAAAGTCTTTAGGTCAGGTGGCTTTCTTTGTGCCACTTCTGGCATTTTGCTGCAAGATGATGAACTCCAGAATGAGTCTGGCTGTCCGAGAAGGCCTCTCCATCACCACAGAGTGTCCGCACTTCTCCAGCAGATCCACTCTGCATTCAGGCAAGGTCTCTGCAATCACTGCCGCTCCAGAGACATCCATCACCTGAGCAAATGCTGAATGATTACTAGTATGTCTATGACAGGGATGCCAAACTAACTTTGCACTGCTCACTTTGATCTTAAGTGGTGTGGACCAGTAAAACTCTTCTTTTTGTCAGTGTAAAGAAGTTTATCTATGCATTTAATCCAAGAGGAAAAAATAGTGGGAAAAAGGAACTTCTCTGTTATTTAATTTTTTTTAAAAAATTTGTTACTTATTTACTTTGGTGTAGTATAAATGGCCATGGGGGAAGTCTTTATCAGTAGCCAAAGCTGTAAAATGTATAAAAATGCAATTAAATTTACGACCTTCATATTTCCCAAAGCCGTCCAGTGGGCCAGACTGAAGTCTTTCTCAGCCCAAATCTGGCACCCGAGCTTTATGTTTGACACCCCTGCTCTATAAAGTTTCTCTTTAATAGAAAACCTGAGCCACCACTTTCAGTGTACAGCACGTGTGCACCTGGAATATGAATCTTCAGATTAGTTTAGACGCAAAACCTGCTGTGTAATCATTTATGTACTTGGAGTCATTGTGTTAGTTTACCTGGTCTTGTTTGCCCCATATCACTTGTAAAGGTGTGGTTATTAGATGCAAGTGGTCCTGTAAGGCGTATCTTGATTTCTCACCTACAATCTCCATAAAAACTAAAGAAAAAGAGAATTTACTGGAATTTTTCCACTAAACTGGAAAATACTGAAATATTTCAGTACAAAGTGAACTGACCTTCTTGGTAAAATGTGTTGTGAGGCTCTCGGACATCTACCAGGCCTTGAAGGATCTAATCAGCGAAAAAGTAGCTTTAACAAAAAGTTCACAAAATAAGCCAAGCTTTGAATAACAAAGCAATTCAGTAAGACGATTACTACTCTGTATTTGTTATTTTTATAGTCTACATCATGATTGCAAATTATTAGCGCATAAAACAAAACAAAAAAATGTATACTTGAAATGAAGACCTGACCTGCTGAGGAATTTTAAAGCGAACATGGGAGCACAGTTTGAACATATCCTCCATCTCCTCGGGTGTAGTGGGGATCAGCGGGATGTTCAGGGTGTAATTGCTGTGCTCCAGGTCCTGCACATGATTGTCAAACTTGGTCTCACATGGATGTCTTATTCCTGCAGAATAAAATGATGATTTTGGACACAAAATTAATTTCATGCTCTGTATTAATTGGTTTGCTATTAAAAAGGCACTATTTAATCTCCAGAGAGCCCCCATCCTCATATGGGGACAATAAATTGTGGCTTTCCTGCACCTTATCCTTTACTTTGTTCAATAATGTGATTTATATTTTGCTAAACAGTGTCTTTATTGTGTCTTGGCATAAAATAAACCCATTGTCCCCACATGGGGACATCCTTTGAAAAAATAATTGTGATAAAAGTACTAATATTTGAATAATCCCAAATATAATATTTATATATAATATAATTTCAATCCCAAATAAACCTCATAAAGCATTTTTACAAACCTGACAAGGAAATATTAACTCCAGCATTTATGTTAATGCTATTTAAAGTTTTGATCTGAGTAATATTATTCTTTCGCAGTCCCAATCATTTAATGTTGCGCCCTGGGAAAATTAATTACATAACGGGTCCAATTACAGATCCAGTCTTAGGTGGAATGTGTGGTTTATATTAGTAATTAAATATTATGTCTAGCTGAACATATTTTTTTGTCATGAAAAAAAAAGTAACAAAATAAGCAACCTTCACATTTTCAGAGCCCATATGCTGCAGAATGAGTGCTCACTTGGCCAACCAGTTGAGCAGCATTT